CATGAAAACCCTGAACTTCAACTTCAATTCCAATCCTTTGAAACTCGATCACTCTACTAACATTTTGACGAAGTTCATTAGATAAGTTTCAGATATAAGAACATTATATCGGATGAAAAAAAGTTGAAAAGAATCAGATTTGAGCAATAAGTAATAAAGAGCATGAACAATTACAATGAATACGATCAAATACAGAAATATAGGCACAAACAAATGAGTTACTTCGATAAACGATTACAGTACGAATCAAAAATGAAATATAAAAATCGCAACAACCCATTGGCTATTTGCATTCGAATCATAAGAATATCTGAAAACTGATAAAGACATCGCTTATTATGCTGATAATACTGATAAGACGATGACATGAGATCGTTAAACAAAATTCACGATTAAATAAGTAGATTTATTGAGAACATAATGAGAAGCTAGTTTCTCTGAATCAATCCACGACTGTAATCAATTCAAAAGCTGAAATTTTTGAAGCAGTTCGTCAGCTGAACGCTATGAAAAAGTTTTGTTAAGAGTGTTCAGACGATAAATGGTATCATAAACGAGCTCTCTCGTAATAACGGAAGAACCTTTCTGAATGTTCTTTTCAGCCAATGAAACATCATCAGAAAAAACCAACAGTTGATGACACTACAAGATAAGCGAGAATAGCAATAACAATAAGTCAAGCCACTATGAATGATAATTAATGCAATGACGATGTGCCGAAAGAAACGAATTCAACATCAAAACGGTAATTAATATGAACACTGAGCGCCGAGTAACAATGTCGCAAATAACACTAAATAACAGCAAATAGTAACCGTAATAATAATTCACAGATATGAGTGTGTTTGAAAACAGAAATTGAAAAAAACACAAACAACGGAAACGGATAGTTACTAAACTAAAAACACTTTACTCAGAGATTACGAACACTTGCTTACTGCATTCAATTCAGCTGGAGTAGTGACATTCATATGCAAAACGATCAAGCAGTCTGAATTCACACTAACAAAAACAAAGTGCTTGTACTCTGAAATAAAATTCCTTTCACGAATAAGTTCAACGAGATGGATACATTCAACGAGATTTATGCACATTCTATCATTATCCGCGGCCAAATCGGAATAGAAAAGTGAAAAATTAATCGAAATCAAAATTCTCCGCATCCATCAACATCACACACAATTTACTTTCATTCAATCATCCTCACTAAGACGTGACGAAGAGTTTGTGGATTCTGAATCATCCGTTATTAATGCTGGGTTGACACGCGGTCTGCAACAAAAAAATCACAATAATAATAACATCAGTGATGATGTTTGAACTAATAATGATAATAACAACAATAAATCACAACACCAATAATACTCTAACAACTGATATTAATGTCAACAGCGATTACTGAAACAATTTTCATTCGCCTCGTTCGCTCTCCCATTTCAAATCACAAACTCATCCAACTATTACATTAATCAACCACAAGAAATTTCAGATGAAAAATTACCCTCCAAAGCCGTAATTACCCATTGCGTGACCATTTTGCAAAATCCTTTTGTCATCTGTTCGTCTTTGGCTCCGATTTTGCACATCACTGAAAAACGAAGAAATGGGAATCATATTGAGGATAATTTAAAGTAGGAGAAACTTTATGTGATATTTATATCATTCATCAATTGAATGTACTCTAAACCCAAATGAATGAAAATATTTTTAAAAAAACGTGCGATTTATCAGATCCATCGAATTCAAACCACGTTCACGTCCTCCCTCAAAAACAAATATACTCATTTGAGAACTGATAACGATACCGTGCGTTTTGTTTTCGACTGGGCACTGTCGAGCCATCCTGATTCGGCATCTCATCACTGTCGTCTAAATCTTCAGATTCAATCGAATCATCAAATTGCGGTCTTCGTAGGCGTTGTTCATGCTGCACCCGTCTACGATGCCGTATGTTCAAATTTCGATCATCATTACTCCACGGCACATCGTTTCTGAAAACGACCAATCAACTTCACGAATCCATCGCATTCAAAACGATCATATGACTATTTAGCTCTACTTATCAATACATTCTTACGAACTGCTGAAAATACTTTGATGAATGCTTCTAACCAGCGACACGAAAGCCTAGTGCTTACGCACGCATTAAACAACAATACATTCAGTCGAAATGCCTTGAACGATATCCGTGTTATTTTTCGACATCCATCAGGGAACAATTCAGATGTGCTGTAATGATGAGCTTGAATGATTTTTTTTGATGAGATGGTGAATAAATGCTGTGAAGTAGACGTACCGCTGCGGATTACGAACTGCGGCAGTTCGAGAATCAAAACTGCGCGATCGACGCTCCTCTAGCACGTACTCATCCTCACCGCTGTCATCCGTGAGCTGATCCATTTGTGCAGAACACTCCAAATCGTGAAGGATTGACTCCTCCTCAGACACATGATCACACGAACCATGAACGAACTGAGCGAATCTGAAATGAAATTCACCATTCCACTCAATAATCAAATCGCCAATGCGATTTGATCTCAAAGATTCGTTACCTTCTCGGATCACTCAATGACGACGTGATTTTCCAGACATTCGCTTGAGGACTGCTGCAATAGGCGCGTAGCTCGTCGAGCGCTTTTGCCGTAGCCTCTTCACCTTCACGCTCATATTCTTCCATCGTTAAGAAGCGACGTCTCTCGGGCCAGAAGAAACGCCTAGAAACCGAACATGAATAACTCGAAAACGTTGAATTGATGACAAAAAAGCGACATGGATCGTAAAAGACGGCTGACAAATTTTCAAAATGAATTAGAAATTTTTTTTTNAAATTCCAAAAAGTTTTTCAAATTTTGGCTTCATATTTTTAAAAATTTTCCAACAACTTTAAAAACATTTTCAGAACTTTTTTTTTTCAAATTTTCACCCAAATGAAACTATAAACCATCAAATGATGAGAAATTTGACAAGAAGAAACGAATCAACATCGGTCGTAAAACTTCGCGATGAACCGAGAAACAATAACCAACCATACGTCATGGATGGTTGTGAAGAATTTCGAGACCGAATAAATGATCCACGTCTTGCAAGCAGACCATATCAACAATAGAGCAATAACAGCGTAAGCAAACTCAGCTAGCTGCAACTTTTATTAGAGCATTAAAACATCTGATTTACGGCATAAAATCAACTGGAACAACTGAATATAAAATCAGTATAAACGAATATAAATATAAAGAAATTAGTACCATTGCTAATAATAAATACTAAAGAGAATGCGAATTAACAACAAAAGCTCAAAATCACCTGACAAGAGAAGTAGATGAGAAGAAGTGCGACCAGTTGAAGTGCCCACTGCGCGAGATTATGTGATCGTACGTCAGTTGGAGGACCGTAACGATAACAAACCGCAAACGATATCAGCGTTACCGTAGCGAAATAAGCCATCACGAATTTCTGATACTGCAGCATGATCAGCGTGAAATTCTTCCATATCGAATACACCAAGTAGAAAGACAACGACCATCCACCAAACAATATCGGTACACCCATCCATCGCTTAAAATTGTCACTGTTAACTTCTTTTTTTTCCAGTCTTGTGAAATTATCTCACCAATTCTCAGCCATCAGTTAGTTGTCTTATAAATTGCAACTTATGAATTTTTTGAATTTTGAAAATTTTCAAAAATTTTCAATCTAAATTTTCAATGTGCAAATTTTGAATGGATTCACGTACTGAACATAAGATTTTCACGATTCAGGAAGAATACAGTTACGGAGAAGTTCTTTAGGGAACAGTGAAAAAACTGAAATGAACACGGTGTAACCTTCGGTGTGAAACGATAAAAGATAATAGCGACAATGAGGAGTGACGCGATAAGACCAGCGAAACATCCACTTGCATAATAAAGCAAAATATTTCGCACCAATGAAGCAGACATCAAAAACAACACGACTGCACCAAGAAACACTCCCACTCGAATATAGTTCACTGCTAAATTTATCACCACAACTTCAATTATCAACAAGCACGATAACAACGGTCATATGTTTACCAATACTGCTTATTCTCCTCGTTGCAATACCAATAAATCAAAGGTTTCAATTCATAAAAGTTTCAATTGCAGTACAAAACTCACCCCATACTCGAACTCGAATCGTGTACGGTTGGTTTGTGGACACACCCAGCACTGAGTAACCGAATGGATTCAGATGTTTCGAACGCATTATACTCGCGTAACGAACCAAGCCAAACAAACTCTGATCATCACGATAATGCTCTAGCATTGACGAGCAGTTATTACCCTTGAATTCAAAAACACCTATTGATAATTTTATCGCTATTTCATTACATCCGTCATTCGACATTTCACAATTCCTACAACCAATTTCACAAAATGCACAATGGGTTTAATTTGATCCGAAAATTCAGCAGAATCCTTGACTGCAGTCTAAACATTTGCCGCATACTGAATGAAAAGATTCCAATACCGAGCAATCATTGAAGCGAAATAATCAAAAGCAAATGAAACCTGATAGATCTGATAGGTTTGTTCATCAGTGAGGTTGATCTGAAGGTGAACATCAATGAAAGTACGAGATAGTTGCGCATCAAACCCATTGAAGTGGTACACATCGAGTGGCGGTGTTATCCATGAATACGATTTACCGGCTATTTTCATTGGCAAATCACTAAGTTCTAAAAAATCTTACAATTCTATAAACTTCGGATTCACTCAATCACAAATGATTTGTAAAAAGACAAATGATTAA